CCTTCACACATCTTATGTATTAGGTTAACATGCCTCTAAAATTTATCTCCTTGACTGTACTCAACAAAAGATAAATTTTAGTTAAGTCTAACCCGTCATTCAGAAATATCAAATATTTCATAGTGTCAAACATGTCCCTAATGGACCAGCCTTGAGTGTACTCAATAAGTTGAGACGATTTGAGACTCTGATTTTTCACTATAATGATGGAAGGCGATTATAAATGTAACTTAATATTTTATGGAGGGATTTTGCATTCAAAGATCTCATCGTAACAATAGTATACACTTTATTATACATCTACCATACAAATAAATATATATAACATAATATAATAGTGTGGACGATAATGGACTTTTACTATCTAGTCTTCCCGAGCCATAAGGAAGACTAGTTGGTCAATTCCTAGGGGTCTGACACTGATCAATATCAATGCGCCATCTCCATGGTCTCCTCCTCTTCTTGTTTTTTCAATTAGTCCAATTGCAACCTATATCCTATATTAGTTGGCACGCAGGCCCATAGCAATAATAATAATAACGGACTCGCAAGTCCAAAATGATCAAGAGATCGCAGGCCCAAAACAATAACAATAATAACAGGCTCGCATGCCCAAAACAATTGAAAGCTTGTAGCTCAAAAAAACGACAAGAATAAAAATTAACCATTCAGCACATTTATATGGTCGAGTCCATAATCGTCCACTAATAATACATTCATCACATAAATGTATACCTATATAATATCTAATATTATATGCAAATAAGTTTCAAGTTTCTAGCAATTAAATCGTCTAAACTCCTTAAGGCAAATGGATCGGAACAATTAAATAATTAATTAATCATATTAATCGATTATTTAATTAGTGGGCATGTCTAATTAAAATCAAAATTTAATTAAATACCGAATTAGAGTCTAACTCTAATTCAACGATTATAGGGCGGGATAATTTAATTAAAATCAAATTTTAATTAAATATTAAATTAGAGTCCAACTCTAATTTCATAACTTAAGCCAGTTGAATTTAATTAAAATCAAATCTTAATTAAATAGTAGAATTAGAGTCCAACTCTAAATCTAAAATTTTTTTAGGGCCAACCCGTTTAATTAAAATCAAATTTTAATCAAACACCAAATTAGAGTCTAACTCTAGTCTAAAGAAAAGTTTAGGGCGAAAAAATTTAATTAAAATCAAATTTTAATTAAACGTCAAATTAGAATCAAATTCTAATTTCTAAAATATCTTCGGGTGAAAAGTTAATTAAAAACGAATTTTAATTAAGTCCTAAATTAGAGTCCAACTCTAATTTAAAATTGAATCAATATTTTAAACTAGGATAACACTCATAAATAAAATAAAATTCAATTGGGGTCAAAGTTTGATATTTAAGTTAAAATCCATTTTTAACGAAAATGTAAAAGTCGTCAATTTTAAATATATTTTTTTTTTTTTACTTTGGGTCAAAATTAAATTTATAAGTCAAACCCATTAAAATACATTTTAAAAACCCATTTAAAATTCAAATTCAAAATCCATTTTGAAATTTGCAAATTGACCCAAGTTTAAAATTAAGGCCCCGTTTGGTAGCCATTCTTTTCAAAATGTATTTTTCTCTTTCTTCTTTTCAACCACACATTTTTTATTAAAATAATATAACACGTAAATAAAAAACTTTTCCTTATTTTTCAACCACACATTTCACATCAATTTACTATTCTAAAATACATTTTTACCTAAAAATGCCTATCAAACACCCCCTAAAATGTGGTCCTTCAATTAACGTAATAGCAAGACAGGTCCTCCAATTAAAATTGCAAAGTTACCCTTCTCGTTTATTTGCAAGTAGCCCCTTTACATTTCATAAATTGCAGAGAGGTCTCCCTTTTAAAATTTGCAAACTAACCCCTTGGAAATAATTGCAGATAGGGGCCCACAATTACCTTAATTGCAAAGGAACCCCCCGCCTCCAAACACTGCACACTCAAACGTAAACCCTAGAAATTTTCACCGTCTCTTCTGCTTTGGTAGGCTGCGCCGGTGTTCCTCAGCGGCGAATCGTCACCGCTGTTATACAACGACTGACGCCGCCGCTACAGCAGCGTTCGCGTTGCAGTCTGCAGTGGAATTCTGCAGCGCGCGACGCTGCTGTTGCCACGCTGCTGCTGCAAAATCAGCAGCGCCGGTCGCTGCTACAATAGCAGCAACAACCGGTGCTGCCAAGCGCTCCAGTGCCGAAGAAAACCGCCGACGAATTTCAGCCCCTTTCCTTATTTTTTATTTTTATTTTTTTTGTTTAATTCTAATCCAAGAACTTTTCTTTCAAAACCAGATTTTGAAACATTGAAAAGTAAATTTTCTGACAAATTGCTGGAAACAAGAAAACATTAATAATCAACTTTTGATTTCAATAATATGCAAATCAATTTCTAACGAATACAAAGTAAGCTCTAATACCACTATTGAGAATCTACTTATACATGCATAACGAAAATTAAAATAATTTTCGATTCCCACCAAAAATCGCCTTTGTGTTTAGATAGAAATTGTGATAAGATTGTACCTTTTCCAGATCTGCAAACTTCTTTACTATTTTTTTCGTTCCAACAATCTTGATTCGCCATCCACAGTTGTCTAATTGTCCAACCTCCAACGATAATCTACACAGAGAATAAGATTGCAACTACAGGATTTTCTCCTCTTGTGCTAGCAAGAATAATTGTGAGAAAAACCATATGAATTGAAAACCCTAGCATTGTATTTATATAAGCCCAAACAGGCCTGGCTCGGTCCGGTCCGGTCCAATATTTAACTAAATCATTTAATTAAATTCGGCCCATGAATTAATTAATCCAATTAATTAATTCGGGCCTATAAATAACCAACATAAATAATTAATTTATCCAACGATTGTTAAATTAAATAATTGATAAATTGCAATCTTCCAATTCTCTTTTGTGTGTGACCCATCAGGCTCCCGATCACAATACCTAATGTCATGAAATATTATTTTGATCTAATCAAAATTGATAAATTAAAACTCCCTTTTAATTTATCATCAATTCACACTTGTTGTCCCAAATTAACATCTAACAATGTGTCAGGACAATATATGTGACGGAAAATGTTACGTGATATGATAAAACGAAACTCGTTCGTTTACCGTAAAACTATAATCCCTTCGTTAATATGATCCGATCAATTACGAGATATGAAATTGTGTCAACCCCGAATATCGATAATATCTTTCACTCCACTATTAAGTCAATATAAGTCGAAAACTCCTTTTCAACTTTTGAGTACACCTTGGCCAAGAATTTCGTTATCGACATAATTGAATGAAATGCAGATCATAATCTCCTACTATCTAAGAGTGACGAATCCTTTATTGGTCAATCACAACTTTCATATGATTCTTGACGTACTCGAACGTTGTCGTATTAGCGGTCCTTTACAGAGCAACATCCAATATCGCCAAAGTATGACTGTCCTCATATAAGGTACCATAACGACCTCAAGTCAAATGACCAATTCCACTATCGAATGTTAGAAATTAACCACTGACACTCAGATAGTTATCCATGTGAAATTTCTCAGCGGGTCTCCAATGTTTTGTTCTATAACAAAACATCCACATGTCATTTAAGTGTCACCACACTTTAGCTTGTGAGATCAGCTACTTATTTCACAAGTAAGAAATGCCACACTTGATGGTCTATTCATAATAACGATATCTGTATCTCGTTATTACTTATGATCACAGACGATTTAAGATTCAATTAGATATAATTTGTATCTTACAATCACAACTACTTGTGATTAACAAATTACGAAGATTTGAATCTACGGACTCTATTATTTATTTAATTGTCTATTAATTAAATAATAGATCTGTCATTAAATTACATTAATTATATATCAAAAATATTTATGTTCAAAATTGATTGGACCTATGAGATAATACTTACTTCAAGAAGGATATTGGTCACATATGTTGTTATTTCAAGTGAAATTATTTTTATGTTTAGCATAGGATTTCGTCCATGTTGCTTTATCTCTCGCAAGGAAAATAAAGTAGCCTGTAAAGTTTTATCTCAATTTGCTTTTAATTTTTTGGTTACAAGATGAATTCATTGGTTGCGATGTGCTCTTTCCCATTATCTTGACGATTTTATTCAATGGATGTCACATATTCATGATAAAAAAATAAGTGCAATTTATTTATTTGAGCCGTATTCTTTCTAAAACATACATTCTTAAACAGTAATTTGAAATCATTTTAACCATATATTTTTCAATAAAATAATATTAGATGCAAATCCAAAACTTTTCACCATTTTTTAACCACACGTTGTTCAAAAATATACTATTTCGAAATACAATCTTTCAAAATAATGTGACTCAAACAGACACTTGTACTTGAATTCTTAAAAAACTTTAAAAAATTGTTGTGTGTACAGAGTTGTACACATACAACACTTTCACAATCATGGGGCCGTGATTATTTTAATCGTGGGTCCCACATCTTGTGTGTGAGATGACTATCAATCATAATGTCAAAATTATTGTACTTGTACCATTGTTCGAAACTTTAACCTACTATTTCACTTTAAAAATTTTGCATTTTTTAAGCGAGTAATGCTATTTGCAGTGAAAACTGTCAGTAGTCACCCTATGTGGTATACACTTGACAATTTGGTATTTGATACATAGATATGGTAATTATTTTTTGAATTATACATCAAATGAAAAATTGCCAAGTCTATGTCACATAGGACGACTGTCGGTAATTTTCACTGCAAATAACATTATTCTTTTAAGAATAATACTTGTGGCACATCGAGGTGTCCAATGGGGTATCCAAAATGAACATTCCATTGGGATATCACAATGTGCCTATAGTACGATTGTTCTTTTTAAGCACACCAAAAGGTCCAAAACACGCTCTTAATCATACACGTGGCAAACTAAGCGTCTGCCTCATCACACCGAACCCAATCCAATTTCGGCATATTTCGTTTCCAATTCATTTATTCTTATCTTTTAGAAATTCCGATTCCTCGGCCATTTTACGCCACCATCTATGTAATCTTCCTGAAACGCAAATTCTTCACAATCTGAAGAATTCATGGACAGTTCAACAACTTCGAGCGTTCATATCAATGAAGTCGGGAAGGATGAGATAAAGAAAGATGTATACTCGGTGTGGGCGCTTCCGCCAGAGGACGTGAGGCCGGGGCTCAAGAAGTTAATGAACGATCTCAGATCGGAGTTCGGTGGACCGGAATTTGAGCCGCACGTGACCGTTGTAGGAACAATTAGCTTGACGGAGAGAGAAGCACGTGACATGTTTAACAAGGCTTGCGAGGGGCTTAAGGCATATAATGCTAATGTAGAGAGAGTTGCCACTGGGACTTTCTTTTATCAGTGTGTTTTTCTTTTGCTTCAACCCACGCCTGAGGTAATGCTTTAATTTGTTCGATTTTCCTTTTTTCTTAATTTGTCGGATAAAAATATTGGCTAGTTCTTTTATGTATTGTTCATTCAGATTATAATAATTAATTTGGAATAATCTAAAAAACCAGTGAGATCAAGAAAAAAAATTGTATAATAATGACTGGAGACAACTGTGAAAGCAAAATTTCTTCAGTTTCTTTACCAACTATTGGACTGAAAATTGTAAAAGAACAAAATGCTTTTTAAGAAGAATGTAGTAGAAATTAACATGTTAAGATGGATGAATTGTTATGCTAAGATGAATAAGATATCAAATGAAATTGCCTCTTTTCTTCACATTTTTCTGAAGACCTAGCAATAAAGTGAACGGAGTAAGGAAAAAATGAACTCTTGTTACAGACTCCAAAGTATTTAAAAGGAGCTTAGTGTTTTGTTGAGTTTGTTGCATTTTCTTTTGACTGCTTAAAATAAAAAGGAAGATTGAAGGGGAAATCGGAAAACAGTGCAATACTATGCTTGGTGAGATTAAGGGAAGCTGGAGAAAAAGGATAATGCTATTTATGCATTCAAATTGTACATTGTTGTCGACATTGTGTGATGTGTAAAAGATCCGACCATTGATTTGAACGGTTGTTATCAAATAAATGGCCAGATTATCTGCTACATCACAGTGTCAACAAAGATGTCAAAAAAGTAACTGTAGCATATTGGGAGAAAAATCATATTATCTACCTCTTTAACATTTCAGTTACAGAGAAGAAGCTCTCCCATTACGTTTTTGGGACAGTAGTTGTAAACTTCTAGTATGCTTTTGTTTATTATTAAAGAATCGTTTGTTGCATTCACTGCAATAAACATGAAAAGAAAGAGATAGTTATGAGGTGAAATGATGTGTATTCCTTTAGAAATTAAGCGGTGGGCTCATATGGTTGCTTGATTCAGAATTTGCTATTGCACAAGGGATACAAGCGTACACCAGTCTCTTTTTCTCCATTAAGCATTGGGTGTTGTCTCATGTCTAGTCTAGTACACGTATGTCATATTTGGCATCATGGATTGGTAGGGCTGGAAATTATTGAGGATAAAGGAATTAAAAATCTGTTTTGTATGGTGCTTCTGGTAATGTGTACCAAACATATCCATGCGCTTTCATGTTATTCTCTATAAATTGGTGATGTGAAATTCCTGTAAAACAGGTAATGGAGGCTAGCGCTCACTGCACCAGTCATTTTGGTTACAAGGCCTCAACAAGTAAGTCATCAAACTAACTTTGAATATTGTGATCTTGTACCATTTTAACTGTGTTTAACCTCTCTCTCTCTCTCTTTCTTGGTTTACCAGAAGTAAACACTAGAAAACTACTCTTCTTTAATAACCTGTCTGTTTATTTAAAAGCAAGACTTCTCAGTATAGATTCTTTGTGATCTACTAAAATAGATTCTAATCCTGAAAAGTCTTCCATGTTCTTGCAGCTTATATGCCCCATTTGAGCCTCCTATATGGGGATCTAACTGATGAGGAGAAAATGAAAGCTCAAGAGAAAGCTATTGTGCTCGACAAGGACATCAGAAACTTGAGCTTCCAGATATCTCTCTTTGCGTTGTACAAGGTTGACACCAAGGACAAAAGTTGCAAATCGTGGGAGAAGGTGGCTGAATGCAAACTCAATCCTAACTAGTTTACACAGAGTATTTGGACTCTTATCCGTTAGTTCTTGTAAGTCATGAAAAAGATGATGGTTATATAAATTGCCGATATCAGTGCCTCATTTTGTTTTATGCCCTTTCTGAGTTGCTTTTTCTTTGAGTTCCAGGAGTTAAAGTAGAACATAGTCTCTGGCTTTGCGAGAAGGAACCATCAACATAGTTATATATATATATTTCAGTTCTGTAATGCTGATAATCGAAATAAGAGGGGCATAATAAGCATTTGTACATTGTTTGGTACACAGTACATACAATGCTTCTTATCAAAAAGCATGAGTGGATAGGAACTTGTGGTGGATTCGAAATCATGGGGAACATGCAACGCCTTCTTTCTTCCACTACGGTAAAATGTTCAACTGAGTTCTTACATTGAGCCTTTGTTTGACATCCTTTATTTCAAAATTCTTTTTTCTACATACTCATTTTAACCACACATTCATACAATAAAATATTTTGTACGTAAATCCAAATTATTTTCTTACTTTTTAACTAAACATTTTCCAAAATTTCACTATTCAAAACATTGAAAATCCCTAGCAATGGCCATCAAAATTTTGAGTACTTTTAGGATTATGTCTCTCAATTGAATTATGATATAATGCATTTCAGTTCAGTGAGAGCAATTTGTATAAAGAGGGAAGAATTGGCACTTTTAAGTTACGATATAATCTGAATGTACTGTACTGTACTGAACACAACATTGTGGCAAAAGGATATATGAATTTATAGGAGTATTATCGGCTCAACTTTTTGAAAACTCATTTTTCGAAAATTCATTTTCAATCATACATTCTCCAAATAGAATAATTTTACACATGATTCGTATCATTTCTCTACTTTTTCGCTAAATATTCTTCATGAAAATAACTTTTCGCTTCAAATAATCTGCCAAATGAACACTACAAAAAAAGAAAAAATGAAAACCTTTTTCTTCACATTATGTTGTTAGCATTTTTCTTTTCCTTTTTTTTTTTTTTTTTTTTTTTTTTTTTTTTTTTTTTTTTTTTTTTTTTTTTTTTTTTTTTTTTGGGGGTTCCTAGGTTATTGTTCTCCATTTTCATGATTGATTGCCATTTGAATGTGTTGTGATTTATAGTTTTTTGGAGATGTTTGATATAAATTAATACATGATAATAAACAACATAGAGTGTTATCAATATTTGATATATATTGTCTTTGGCAGTTCAGTTGGGAGGACTGTTGGACCCTGGCCAGTTTGGGGCATAACCCGTGGTTTACTTGGTTTACGTGAAGAAGGATTGGATCGTAGGCCCCAAGATTAGTCGTTGTATGTTGTATGGAATCATATGAGATGATCTTTGTGAATTAGTACATTTTTATATGTTCGTAATTTAATCAGATTAGATTCACATACAGGTACATAATTGATTGACATCGAGAGAGGCTTTTGATTAAATCGGATCACAAGTTTTCATCCAAAGCAAGAATTTGCAATTGACGGGTAATTGAGAACTGAGTTGGATTAAAACGGTGAATTCATGGTCCTAATGCTTTGCATGCTCAAATCAATTAGTTTAGTTATTAATTAGGAAATTGAAATAAAAAAACGTTCAATCTCTATTGTATGTTTTGATAAAGTCCACTTTAATTAAAGTAAAATCAATGATCAAACTATATCTTATTCATTGTCATATTACTTGTCCATGATGCAGTTCTCGTGGGAAAAAAATATATATAAAAAAAAAAAAAAAATTTGACGTCGGTATTTTGGAATTTGCTGATTCAATTATTACTTTTGATTGATTATAATTAACGTCGAGTGTATAACCGAATGTTTCGTAGTCTCATTGTTCTTTTTGAACACAAATAAGCTTTGCATCTTAAATATAAATATAAATTTTTTCATAGTATTCTCTGAAATATATCTTATATTTTTATAGTTCTACTTACCTCATTTTGAAAGAAAGTTTATAAATTTCTATTGTAGAACATATTGTTGAATAGATGGAAGAGAAATTGAATAAAAATTGGGAAAATGTAATTGTAAAGGGAAAACATCCGAATTCTAGATTGGGCCCATAAGACAATTCTGAAAAGAGGACGACGAGACGAGCAATACTCACCGCTATACTGTGATGTTCGATGGATTTCGGCCATTCGAGTTCGTTTAGTACTCGAAAACTAATTTTTAAAGTTTTGGAGCTATTTTTGCCATTTAATTTATTTTGGATTTTTTTTTTTCAATTTTAGTTTGTCTACACTTTCTTTTCATTAATTTTAGTTGTTTTAAACTATGTGTAAACCCTTATATAAGGGGTTATTTGATTGTTTTCATTATCATTCATTAATAAAATTCGTGGATTTATTTTTCTAATAATTTGGTGGATTTCAAATTTTGTGTTCTAAAAGTTTTTGCTTAAATTTCTTGCTTCGCATGCGTCGCTAATTGTATCATAGCTCGTGTAATACATTTTGTTAGTTTACGTCCTGGGGATACTTTTGCCTTTTGGTCCGTTATGCTCTTGTCTGGAGGTTGCAAAATAACATTGGTTTGTAAGTGTTTTTTAAGCGTTCTATGTATGTACTTTATCAATTTGGATTATACAGAAAGTTTAAAGTCATCAGTTCCTAGCTTTAGGATGTTACATCGTGCATCACAAGACGTCTCTCTATTATCTTTCGGCTCGTAGAACATTTTTACAAGAGATCTTAGTTGAAATTGCTATTGCTAGATCATTTCTGGCCTGCTGGAACACATCCCACGATTTACCTCCCTCACAAAACTTTAGGGGTGGGGCGGTGGGGACCTTCAAGATTGAGGTTCAACCTTTTTTTTTTTTTTGAAAAAAGAAAAAGAAAAAGTTAGCAATAAGCACTGATTTTCTCTCAATTTTTGATCTCAACAGCTTCAAAACAAGGCGTTGCTTTTCAATTTCTGATTGATTCCCAACAACATTTTAGGTTACGGGTATGAAATACAAGTTGGACACGGCAAATTTCAACCGGACACAGCAAGGAGTCGAAACTGTTGACTTCGCGGCTATCATTGTTGCAGAGTCGCGTGCTGGTTTAGCCGTTCAGGGAAGGAGGGGGGAATTGTAGTTGGGCCTTTTGGGCCATTTTTTTTTTTTTTTAATATTAAAATCTTCTCTCCTATAAATATTGCATTAATTAAAATAAATTATCCTCGTATAGATGTTCTACAAATAGAAATTGAAATCTTCTTAATTCTACAGTCATCAAATTGGAAGAAGAAACAATCTAACTAATTGGAAGAAATACTAATTTTAATATAAAATTTTAATTCTACTGAATTCTTGAGCCTGCTTTAAAAACACTTTGTGAGCAATTAAATGTATTGTGTCCATTCATATGTTGGGTAAATGTCGATGCAGCCATATTTGAGAAAAAAAATTGAGCAAATCTGAGAGCAAAAAGTAAGAAAAATTGATGCTAATTTTTCTCTCACAAGAGAAAAAAAACAATTGCTTAAGACTAAAGTAAGGTTCCTATGGTACATAATCTGCATCTTGTTCTCATTCACTCCATCGCCTTTGCTTCTTAGAGGGAATAAACCCCTCTAAGTAAAAATTATAGTAGCGACTAGCGAGTCTCAAGCTTCGAAAATTTAACTTCCCGAGTTCCAACTGTCTTGGTATCAAAGTCATATAGGATTAGTTCCCAATGTCTTCTAAGTAAAAATATAATTTTACGTTGTCTACGGAACAATGAAACTCAACATCCACTTGAAAGCTTGTTTACTACTTTCCACTCAATTAGATTATATTTTTATATTTACGTTTCCTTCATTTTTTCCAGGAAAAAATAAAAAAAATAACTTTGCCTGCACAACAATGGTTAATTACCCACAAAAAAAATAAAAATCAAAATCTGGTATGTCAATAAACAAATTTTAGGCGATTTGAATAAGTATTCAGATTTTCCTACATTTTTTTCAACAGTTTTAAGAGATGTCTTCGTTTCAAGATCTGACAGTAAATGAATCTGTGGCACCCTCAATTCAAGTCATGAATCAAGATTTGATTCGTCTTGATCGGTTTGATGGACATAACTACACGTGTTGGCAGGAGAATGTTTTATTCTTCTTGACAGCAATCAAACTGTCCTACATTCTGAGTGATGATCTCGAGCCTATTCCAGAAGAAAAAGCAGATGATTCAGATGAATGCAAGAAGGAATTACAGGAACAACGGAAGAAACGGAAGGATGATGATTTTCTGTGCAGAGGCCATATTCTGAATGCACTATCAAATTCCGTTTACAGTGCACATAGAACTATCGGAACAGCAAAAGAATTGTGGCTGGCATTGGACAACAAGTATCGTATTGAAGAAACAAGCAACCAGAAATCCTTGATCGGTAATTACTTTGATTTCAAGATGACGGACAGTAAGTCTGTTCTTACCCAGGTACATGAATTACAACTTATTTTTAGTAATCTTAAGAATGCTGAAATTGTCTTGACTGATGCATTTCAAGTTGGAGCCATTATTGCAAAATTACCAAGTTCATG